CCCGGGGCGGCGAGACCCGGCCGGCGGCACCGGAGCACCGTGCAACGTGCAGCCAGGCCCTGGCTCCCGTCCCCTGGCTCCGCCGCGGTGGCAGGTCGTGGCGTTTTGCTTCCTCACCCCCCCGCCCCGAGCACCTCCCGGTGGGGGCACGTCTGTGAGCGGGAACCGGCAGAGCCGCCCGGTGCAGCCAAACCGGCTCCCGGGGTCACCCTGGCTGCAGCGGGGCTGCCCGCGGCTCCGGGGCTGCAGGCAGCGGAGCTGGCAGGGCACGGCCCCCTGCTTGGGGCTGGGGGGCAGAAGGTGGCCCACCACTGCTCCTGTCCCGCACCCGGGGCAACGAGGGGAAAGGCCTTCATTAGCACGCTGTGCTTTAACGAGACCCACGGAGCGTGAGGGACGCCAGCGCGGGTCCCCTCTGTGCCCCCCGGTGCCTGGTGGGACACTGCCAGGGACCCTGGTGCGGTGACCGGGGACACAGTACCTCCGGTGGGCACCTGCAGACGGGAGCAGCCGCGGTGGCCGTGGTCATGCTCTCGGTGCCCGAGGCTGCAGGTCCTCCTGGCCGTGCCGCCCAAGTCCCACACTTGCAGCCTGGGGACACGGTGCGGGGCTGGGCGGTGGCTCCGGCATGAGCATGCCAGCAGGGCCGTGGCCAGACCCAGCACACGTCCCGCCGCCCAGCCAGGTGACTCCCCAGCCAGCGAGAGCCAGCGCTGCGTGACCCCAAGCAGCATGTGGTGGCTCGGGCAGGCCCCAGGCACACGGCGATGTTTGCTCTGTGGCTTTCTCACACGGCCGCTCCCACGAGACAAACGGCATGGTGATGGCTGGGATTTGGGTTGGCACCGGGCAGCCCAGGCCCACGGAGACCTGTATCTCCACATGGGCAAGTTTGGTGGCCGCCTGGCTCAGGAGGCTTGTGCCCACTCCAGCATCGTGGCTGTGGCATTGTGTACTGCATGCCACGAGGTCTTCACTGCCCCCACCTTCACGCTCCCCTGGATGTAGCTCTTCAGCTGGGAGATACACAGGGGGCGAGGGGAGAGCACGAAACGGCCATTTGCCTGCCAGTGCTGGGGGCAGGAGGGGAGCCGGCGCTGGCAGGCTGCTCCCCTCTGCTTTAGGGCTGGGAGATGGGGGAACACAGACACCTAAGCATCTCGCTGGCACCATGTCCCGCTCCTGCCAGGGATGCTGGCGACGCTGGCAGTTCCCCAGCCCCGATTGCCCATGCCAAGAGCTGGTATCAGTCCTCGGAGCTCACAGCCTGCCAGCAGCCGAGCGAGCGCAGGCTGCGCCGTCCCGGGGACGTAGCCATGTAAGGCAATGCCAGTGAGTCGGCCGCAGCCATTGAGAGCCCGGCCGGCCCCCACGCTCCTAGCACTGCTGCTCGGCAGTGATAGCAAGCGATCCTCCAGCTGCTGGATTCTTGAGCGGCCAGCGGGGGGGGGGGGGTCTCGCTAATGGCTCCCTCTGCGCCCACAGCACACCCTCCCACCCGCCACGCAGCCTCCATCGCACCGCCCCAGCTGGAGCCACCCTTGAGCAGGGGTCAGCAGCCAGCACTCGCTCAGCGACACATCTAGAATAGAGACGTAACTGAATAAATAAATAACGGCCAGGCAGCGTCCATCAGGGAGCAGAGGCCGGTGCTTGGGTGGCCGCACCAGCTGAGGAGGGTCTGTGGGAGCTTGGTGGTTCCAGTAAATATTTGCTGCAGTCGCTTGGAGCCCCAGGCCAGGCTGACTCCTGCGACACCCCAGTCCTCTGCCGCGTTTCCCCGCGGCTGCATCTCTCAGGTGTGCGAGGCGTCGAAACCCTGCACCGACCAGCTCCCGTTCCCACACCAGGCCGCGGCCTGAGGCTCCGAGCTGGCCGGCCCTGCCCTGCCAGCCCAGGGCTTGCTCTGTCTGCCCCGGGGCGGGGGGGAACGCCGGCTGCCCTCTCCCCAGGAACCAGCTCCGGCCAAGACACCGAGGCCAGCGGCTGGGCTGGGAAGGGGACCCCCACCAGCCCGGGGAACCTGACCCCGGGCAGGCCCTTGCTTTGGCGACGGCCCTCCCCGTGAGGAATTCCTCATCGAGCCAAAACCCCTCGTTGCCATCACCGGGGATGGGGAGGAGGCCTCCGCAACAGCCGCCGGGTACCCGCGGGCCCAGGCCACCGTCCCGCCTTCACCCGGGGGCGGCGGGAGGGAGCAGCGCCGCAATCACCGGCCC